AGTAATATAACATTTCAAGCATATTCACCACTTAACGTTAAATCATAGAGCAAGTGAGTATGAGAATAAATGTTGTGATGGGTGCTTATTACCGATTTCAGCTTCATTTTACCACTGTTTAAAGTGTGATTTTCTTCTTCGTAAAGTTTGTGCGGAGTTACCAAAGGTAAAGCATGTTTGGCATCATCGTTGCCAAGAACCATTACTCCTCACTTCAGACGAAGTTTTTGTATGTGTAAAATGTGATCATTGGTCTAAAGCTTTTTCCTTTATGTGTGAAGAATGTGGGAGATATACATGCCTTCGATGTGTTATTGCTCTTACGCCTGGTGCTCGAACATGTGTAGGACATAAATGCCCTCTTTTTTTTCTATATCAACTATGAAGGGCAATGCGATGCATGTGGTGAACGTGGTACAGGGTTGTTCCGTTGCAAGGAATGAAATTTGCCTTGGATCATAAATGTTTTTTCACTTTTGATTACAGTGGATGACAAATGCGATAGACATCTTCTTTCACTAGTTGATCGTGATAATAACAATTATTCAGAAAGTCATTATTGCGATATCTGTGAAGAAAGCAGAGATCCAAAACTCTGGTTTTATCATTATGCAACTTGCGGTACTTCAACTCATGTCGATTGTGTTCTCGGAAGAGATCCATTCATGCAACTAGGGAGCATTCTTGAACTAAGAGAGGATGTTCATGAGCACCCTGTCACTGTCGTTAAGAAGATGTATTACTACCCAGACTGTTGTACATGTGGTAAGCCCGGCGTAGATTCGTCTGTCGAATGTAAGAAGCCTGGATGCAACTATATTCGCCATGTTAAATGTCCGTGGTAACAATTTCGCTTGTTCGGATAGGGAGGACAGAGGTGTTGCTGGTTACTGTACTTGGAAACTACCCTTCTCTTTGGGAGAAAAGCACAATGTATGGCCCCAACTTCTATTTAAAGTTTAAATGTGTGTCAACTACGTTTAATTTTGATTTTATCGACCCCACAGATAACACCTAACAGACATTGGCATCAATTATCATTTGTCTAATCCACAAAGCAAGGAATAAAGTGAAAGTTATAAATATATATCCTCCAAATGATTAAGAAGAATCCCAATACAAAACAAAGAATAAATTGAAAAATAAAAGGGTAAAACTACACCCAAGAACTCAAGCAAAGTATCCAAAGCAGCATACATAGAGACTCTTTAAAAAGAAATATTAGTAAGATTGCTCACCATTCTCTCCTTTTTCCAAATTGTCTGCTTTTACTTTGGTTATCGGATTTCAATTTCGGTGCTACATCGGAAGGAGCAATGGAGGTGTCAAAGAATTATGGGCATCAACATCCACTTGTGTTGTTGAACGAAGAGCAGCTGATCACCAATCCAAGTGGAACAATACTAGCTGAGTGCTCCATGTGTGGGGAGAAGGTGTCTGTTCCATGTTTTGGCTGTGCCGAGGACTGCGGGTTTTACCTTCACAAGGTATGTGCCGATGCACCTTTAGAGCTTAATCATCCTTTGCATCGCAACCATCCTCTTGTTCTTTTGCCAAATGCACCTTATAGAGGCATGTGGGTTTGCCATTTTTGCGATAAAACGGGTGAGAAGTTCGTTTATCATTGTTCTTGTGGATTGGACTTTCATATTAGATGTGCTTTGTTTACATTTCATATTGATCAAAATAATTTGAAAGAGCTTCAGCATGTTGCCCTTGAACCTCCAATGATTTCCACGTCTATTATAGTCGATGAACAACTTGAAGATGTTAGAAAGTGCTTAGGGTGTAGGGAACCATTAGCAAATTTTGCATACTTCTCTCCTCATTGTGGGTTTAATTTGCACAAGAAATGTGCTGAGCTTCCTCTCATACTGAACCATATGTGTCATCGCACACATCCGCTTCTTCTGCAATTTAATAGCGGTAGGCTCCCTTGCAAGATATGTCAAGAAACCCGACGGAGAGGATTTGTTTATGGTTGTTCACCTTGTAAGTTTGCTATCCACATTGAATGTGTGTCACCGTCACCCATCATTGAAGATAAAAATCATCCACACCCATTCTCTTTGTTCTTGAGACAAGCTCCATTCATATGTGATGCGTGTGGTACCGAAGGAAGTCATGCTGCCTATGGATGTGGTACATGTAACATTATGGTACATAAAGAATGCATTTCATTGCCACGAATTATTAAAAGCAGGTCACATGATCATCGTGTTTTTCACACATATTCCCTTCACAAAGAATATTTTGGAAGTTTGAACTGCCTAATATGTCACGATGAGGTCAATACAGAGTACGGCAGCTACTACTGTGCAGATTGTAATGTCATATTCCATGTGAAGTGTGCAACGAAGTACAGAGTTTGGTATTATGTTGTTTCACCAGAAAATGAAGACGGGAAACCTCTCGATGTTAACTCTATCACTAATGTTCTTGAGAGGAACGTTGCCGGAGAAGCCACATTAATAGAACATTTCAAGCATCATCACTACTTAACATTAATTGACAACAACAGAGAGTACGATGATAAATGTTGTGATGGGTGTATGTTACCGGTCTCGGATTCATTCTATTATTGCTCTCTTTGTGAGTTCTTTCTTCATAAAAGTTGTGCCGAATTACCAAAAATGAAGAATATTTGGCTTCATTATTGCCAATTAGCCGCCCTAGTCCTCACTTCAGATGACATTTTCGAATGTGAACTATGTGATTGGGTTTCTAATGGCTTTGCCTATAAATGTAATGAATGTGGAAGACGCATGTGCCTTCGATGTGCCACTCTTACGCCAGATTCTCTAGCATGTCCAGGACACCAACATCCCCTTCTTTTCTATTTAGATGAGGAAGGGAAGTGTAATGCTTGTGGTGAAAATAACAAGTGTAATGCATGTGGTGAAAATAGCAATCCGATATACTGTTGTAAAGATTGCAAGTATTCTGTAGATCTTCGGTGTACTCGACTGCCAGAGATAGTAAGACACAAATGCGACGATCATCTTCTTGCACTCACTTATCACGAGGTTAATGATTATTCGAAACACCATCGCTGTGACATTTGTGAGCAAAAAACCGATCCAAAGGTCTGGTTTTATCATTGTGCTACTTGTGATACTTCTGCTCACCTTACTTGAGTTCTCGGAGAATATCCATTTATCAAAACAGGGAGCATCTACAAACAAGAGGATCATCCACACCCTCTCACATTTGTCAAGAAGATACATTCCTACCCAGAATGCACTGAATGTGGTGAGCGCTGTGAAGATCTAGCTCTTGAATGTGCAGAACCTGAGTGCAACTACATTGTTCATTGGAAATGCAAAAAACCCAGATGGCTCTAATAGCAGTTTCGCTTCCGGAGAAGATTCGGACGAGTGACGACAGTGATGTAAGTTTAAATAATGTAATACATCCATTTTATTAGTTTGAATTGCTTATTGTTGTCATATATTCTATCTTGATCGTATTCTCATGTTCTGCTTTGCAAAGGCTACTACGAAGTGAAGTCCATCGACACCAACTCACCATCGTCGAGAAGATCGATTACCGTCCGGATTGCTATGAATGTGATAAGCCTCGTGAAGATTTGGCACTTGAATGCAGAAAGATCGTCAGGGTAGCACCTTATAAACTAGAAAACAGAGTATGGTACTCGATTTGTTACGTGTAATGCCTGCTATATTTGTCCTTGTAACTTGGTTTTCCAAGCTTTTAAGTTTGTATTAATTGTCGTGTAATAATCTCAACTTTGAGTTTGTGAGGTTTGGATTGTCTTCGAGTGTTGATTTCTGGACTTTGATTGTAATTTGGCAGTGTGATTTTACTTTAATAATGATGATAATTATAAGGTTGTTTGTCCATGTTACCTGCTGTGTAATCATATCTTTATGTCTTAATATATCTATAAATCATTTTATCGAGACCAACTTCTATGGAAGTCTTGATGTGCGGATCAGAAGAGATAGTATAACAATTAAAATATTAGAGAGATCTCTACGAAATATCCCGAGACTCAATCCATTTTATTTTTCTGAAAGGTGGTCTGAAATTAAATGATCTTTAGTCATTGTTAATTGACTGTCACTTGATGTGCCGTTGAATTGCTGATCCATCCCATGTGTCATGATTCCCGCCATATATGTGCCTTAAAATTTATTTTTTTCAACACTTATTATGAACAATTACTTAAATAACGATATATAAGCACAACAATGATTGTTATGTAATAGTGATGACATTGTCCAAAACTATGATATCAACAATGGTTATGTCCACAATAGTACATGTTATTAAAAATCACAAACACGGTACTTGTTGTGACCACAATATGATTTGTTATGTTCACAATAGTGATAAACACAATGCTATCGAAGACACAAATACAAATTATAATTTAAAATTCTGATTAGAGACTAATTTTTCTAGTTCATCCAGAATCACCAAAATCTCAGAAACGGGCCTGTCAACATCCACTTGTCTTGTTTGTTCTATTTTGAGTTTCAATGAGGAAATGTCTTTAAATAATATACTTTGATGGCTTAAAGTAAAAATAAGTAACTAAACTATGTTATTTTTTATTTAGGTAGTTAAACTGTTGGTCAAAACTATTATATTTAATTATTTTAAGTCCTAATATTTTTCAGTTAGAAAATTATTTTTCGACCAATAAGATATTGACACGTATACGAAAAATTAAATAATTATTTTTTAGCAAAAATATATTTTAGGGGCTTAAAGCAAAAAAGATATATTTTAAGAACTTAAATAATCGTTGAGGTACTTAAAGGAGTTAAATATAATAATTTAAGTACCTAATTTGACCAAAAAATAGCATAGTTTAAGTACCTTATTAAAAAAACCATAGTTTAAGTACTTTTTTTTTCTAGTTTAAGACTATTTTTATTGTATAAAAATATTAAATGAAAATTTTGTTCAAATAACATTATCTGCACATGTACGTGAATTTAGATATGTCATTTCTTTAAAAAAATATTATATGGAAGAATTAGAAGGCAGAAATAATAATAAAGCAAATGTGAGAAATACACAATTTCACAACAGCTCAAACCAGGCATTGAACCAAAGAGGACTCGGTATGGTCCAAACAGTGCAATAGCTTAAGCAAGAATGAGAAAAATAATAAAAGCATCATCGGATCCCGTCAGGCCAATGCCAACACAATTTTGCGGGACTACAAAACTACAGCTTCTACGCGGGGATTCGAACGGCGACACCTAAGGTAAGCTTCGTATGTAACTTCGTTTTACACGTATGGTATGGCAACTCCCTCTCATCGATAACCACCACCGTATGGCTGCTGAGAATAGCCACCGGAACCCATCATGGGGTTATAACCACCGGGCATTCCAGCTTGTGGTTGCATGTAGGGTCTTTGACCCATTCCCATATTCATCCCCATTCCCGGATTCATGCCCATGTTCATCCCCATTCCGGGATTCATGCCCATGTTGTTCATCCCCATTCCCATGCCCATAGGTTGTTGATTCATACCACCATAGCCTCCCCCCATGCCCATGCCTCCAGATGGTCCACCACCCATTCCCATACCCATACCCATACCCATGCCCATGCCCATGCTACCCATACCTGAACCTGCCATAGAATTTGCTGGAGGTCTAAGAGTGCTAGCACCAGAACGACCAATCCCAGAACCTGATCCCATAGCCTTACCCATTGTGATTGTAGATGTTACTGCATTTGGGGCGGGTTTTTCCATCCTCTTTTCCTTCCGATTAAGAGCATCAAAGTCCACTCCGATATCTGCCAACGGATTTGTTTTAGCTGCAAATAAAAATAAAAAGTTAGTGCATGTGTAATGGAGCTACTGCATGAGATCGTTTTTTTTTTACAAAAGGAATAGTAAATACTTACGTCCAGATATATTCAGATTGACTAGTCCTCTGCTCAATGTATCAGCCCAAACTGCCGACTTCGTTTCAAATTTATCCTTCGATGGTTGTGAAACTGGAACTATAGCAAGTGCTCCTGCCAATGGAGTAATTGTCGGTGCTTCCATTGAAGGCTTTGACCCTGGTTGTGAAATTAAGCCACCCAGGAGATCATTGTTATTTTGAGGTTGAGCAGCCATGTGTGAACTGACAGGAGCATTAGAACCTATCTGAGAGTTGAAGCTCCCATTGCTGCTTCGGGCAGCAGATTCTGGGATCTCAGGGGCCATAGACACAATCTGTGAGTTAAAATTACCATATGAATTATTCGAACTTGGTTGCATGGTTTGGGCATATGGATTGGGATTTGGCTGAGCAGGTTGACCATATGGATTAGCATTTGGCTGAGCAGGTTGACCATAAGGATTAGCATTTGGTTGAGCAGGTTGACCATAAGGATTAGCATTTGGCTGAGCAGGTTGATCATAGGGATTAGCATTTGGCTGTGCAGGTTGACCATAGGGATTAGCACCGGATTGTGGCTGTTGGCTATAAGGATTGACACTTGGCTGCACATATTGGCCATATGCGCTAGCACTCGGCCGTGCAGGTCCAGAAGGTGGAAAAATATCTGCCAGTGTATTATTTTCCTGATTAGGAGTTGACAATTCCGGAGGCAGAAACTGGGGGTTTGTTGGAGGTTGTACGGTGGAGACGCCAGGTGCAGAGTAAGCATTGGCAGAGAATGAATCCCCAAAGTTGAAGTTTGCAACTGTCTCAGAATTTGCAGGTAGTTGAGGAGCTACTGCATTTTGGTTTGTTGCAGGTTGGAAAGTAGGTATGGAATTAGAAATTTGGTGCGCAGCTGGGGCAGCATCAGTTGAAGGGACAGCTTTAAAAGGATTATCACCAAATGGATCATCAAAACCCTGAATCGAGAACAATACCCCATAAATATAGATGGGAACAAAGCAATTAGAAAATACATATTGAAGTCCACTGGAATCAAAGAACTAAGAAAAAGTTCAGAAGAAAAAAGGGAGGGTTGGGAAAGATGAAATAGAGCAAAATCTTTAACAAGACCAGCAATTATATGAACCATATTACCTGATTTCCAAAGTTAGAAGTCGACTGATTAGCAGCAAAGGTGGGCATAGCACCAGAGTTTGCATGGGCATCAGACTCGGAAGCAATGTTTTCAGGTGTAACTGGCACGATGGCAAATGAATCAGACAGAGCGTCCAACAAATCCATTTCTACATTGGTTGAAGCAGTGGGAACAGCAGTAGTAGGGACAGCTGCAGCAGCAGGAGCAGTAGTTGGAGCAGCTGCAATTGATGAGAGAAATAGATGAAAAATTAGTTCTAGTTATAAGGGATAAGTCACCAAAATAGTCTTTTATGTCAAGAAATATACATTTTACACAGAAGAAAATACACTAAAACCTACCCACGAAAACTAAATAAAAATAATAATAAAATGGAATGCGAAGCAACAGAGCATGTCAAACCGAACATTAGGAGAACTCAGAAAAATACACTTTCCTGGATGATATGTCATATGTCAAGACAAAAGAACAGCAAAACTAAGTTTCATAATAGATGAGAAAAAGGGAGCAATTTTCCTTGTGAAAGACAACTATAACCATCCATTTAATACCACTGGAACATAAAAACCATGAAATTCATACGGTATTTCATACCTGAAACTGGACCACGGGGATCAAATTCATCAAAGGCCTCCACTTGTTGATTTGGAACAGAAGCTGAATTATTAAGATCAGGGGCTGCTTGGTTAGGATTATTACTACTAGCAGGAAGAGAAGCCCCGGGAGCAGCTGCTACAGAAGTTTGGCCAACCCTATCATGAAATATTTTTTTCAGTATGCACTATCAACCAAGTCCAACACACAATTGCAAGCAACATGTCTCTGAAACATAAGCTGAAATGAAATACCTTTCACTATGGACAGGACTCTGAGTCTCATTTGCTGCTGCTTCATAACTAGGAGGAGCACCAACATTTTGTTCAGAATGCTTCCGCTCATGCTGCCTGCACAAAAATATATTTTTTCAGAAAATTTTAGAAACAAGAAACCAATAATTACTGTCTAATGAAAAAATTGATCAACTGCAATCAAAGGTTAGCCTGGCTGATTCACGAAGACATCCTTAAGAGGTGGCATCCAACAAGCCTAAAATTTGGATTTCAGCAGTTGTAACCTCTTCTGTTATTTTAGGCTGTTACATCAATCCAAAAAATCAACTAATACAAGTTGAGACTGCATAAAGAAGTGGTTACCTTCCATCCTGAGAGTGATCATCACCTCTAGCACCGCTGCCCCTGCAGAGAAGATGATCAAGCTAATTACATTCTCCATGTCAAGCACACCAAAAAGGAATGAACACCGTACTTAATTCACAAGGATCATAACTATTAAATCTGGATATGCTACTTGGTGAAGTGACATCCAAAAGCACATTTGGATAGACAAATTCCAAGAAAAGTTGCCAAGTAAATGCACCATTTAAGAATCCTAATCAAGTGTCTTATCAAAAAAAAAAAAGAATCCTAATCTAGTGCAACAGAAAGTACTTATATTGCACCTTGTATTTTGAATTATTTTCATGACATCCAAAAAGAAGTGGGAAAAATACTTCCAACAGAAATTTTAGACATGGTTAACATAATTGAATTAACAATATTAATGTTCCGTAAAAGAACATAACAATATAAAAGCATCAACATAAATATGTGCATACCGAGAAGAAGCACCATCCTCATCAAAAGCACGGTCTCTATCAGAGCTCCTAGATCTTGTGCCATGTTGATAATCGTCAACACTTGTACTTCTACCTCGGTAGTCATCATCCCTGTAACCATCTCTACTGTTGCGGTCTTCATAATCTCTGCCATAACTATCTCCATCGCGACTGTTTGAATCCCCATATCTGCCATACCGATCATCATCTCTGTCGGCATACTCCCGGTCTCTTCCATAACCATTTTGATCATCATAATCTCTGTTTCCATAATCATATCTGTCACCATATCCCCCAGAACCTGGTCTGTACATTCCACCTGATGATGTATTCCGAAACCTGTAGAACAAAAAAGAATACATTATGGAAAAACTCAACATCCCCGTTTTTATATTCTCATATCAAGAATGAAACTCCGAAGCAATATCTTTAACTAACTGCTAATGGGAGAAGAAAAGTAATCATACAGATCCCACTGATCATGAGCAAGAAATGTTACTAGAACCTATATAAATGGAACTCAATTGAAAAGAAGCTAGATTAAGCAAAAACTTTTCTATTTGACTTCCATTTGCTAATATTCTCAAAGGTTTAAGTTTATTATTCAAGAAAGGGAAAAAAGGATGTCAACTGGTGAACAGATGAACAAGAAATATCCCACAATTGCGAAAATACAGCTGCACCTTTGGACAGAAAACTCATTTCAATCAATCTCAATCAATTTTCCATAGACATATTAATGATGCTTCCAATTGAATCTGACATATAGCATGCACGTGTCTCTTACTGCTATGGGAACAACAGATACCACATAACACATTAAGTCTCCTACCAAAGAGAAAGTGCATCCGCATATGTGCATGCTCAAGCATACATGTACTTGTCAAGTTGAGAGCACAAAGGTAAATACAATTGATAAGCATGAGGATGAATGTAATGTTAAAAGCAACATAGAACCAAAAGAACCACCAATATTTTCAATACTAGTGTTAAAACACTTTTATTTGGGAGAATGATTGAATACAGCAACAACATTAAAGCATAAAAGCAGTTTGCCGGCTCACTTGTCCCTGTTAGCTGCAGCCTTTTGCCTTACTTCAATTATTCTTTCTTTATCATTTACTAGGGCCACAAGGCTCTGAGATTTTTTTCTGACATTGTTACCTTGGTCCCTTCCACTGGAATCAATATATTGAAAATTGGACAAGGCCTGTAACACCGAAAGAAATATTTAATTAGAATTTAGACTGAAACATTTAAATACAGTAAGCTGCAGATTGTATCATCAATAGTGCATATAGAACTAAGAAACAGAAATTACCGATACTTGATAAGAATGTTCTCTTATGTCATCTATGACTCGCTCAGATCCATTAGCAACAAGGTATTCCAGAACTGTCAGAGCCTGAAGCTCAATGAAGCAAAAGCTTTAGTACATTGGAACAGTTTATTTAGAGGGAAAGTTGAAGAAACATAAAATATATACAGAGAAAGAGAGGAGAAATGTAGTACGCAAAAATTGTGTTAGAACACAATGAAGGTTTCAAAATTGAAGATGGAGATTTAGTAAAATGATAAATGCAAGCAATTAAATGAGATTTCCATTCGATCTCTTTTACATGTTGCAGAGGAAATAAATAGATAATGAATACAACTATTTTTTTCTGACCTTGTAGACATGACGCCAATTCTTTCCAGTGTCATTTAGACGTTTCCAGATTACACTCATGATCATCTGATACTCATGACTGCACGAATATTTAAAAGAAAATGAGTTCCCCTGAAACATGTATAGAATGAAAATCATACATAACTTGTCTCAAGCTTACTAGTTTCTTGTAGCCATTGCAATATCTGCAAGAAGTGATCCATGAGGACCCCAGGGCTCATTACTGGTGGCATCGAGAACCTGAAAGACAAAAAAAATAATATTACTTCATTAGGATAAAGTAAATTTTAATAGTATTACATATAACGTTAGAGATCATTTTTGTTTAAGAATACTATATCTATTCATGTTAAATACTTCTTAGTACAACCCCCTACTTACCAAAAGGACAAAAAAGAAGTATGAAGAAAGTAGTTCAGAACCAATACGTTATATCAAGATTCAGCTCAACCAGCATCTTAGGCGCTTAACCAAACTCGATAAGACATGCATATGAAAAATAGAGACCTTTTAGCAAATGTAAGAATCAGTCCATTTAGAAACTTTCCAATATGTGCTCTGAAACATTCAAACAAACAACCAAACTAGCCTGTGACTGGCAGCCACAGGATGTCAAGAACAAAGGTCAGTGAACTCCTCTCCCAAACCAAATAGCCGCTTGTCCAAATTATACTATTCTGACCCCATTCCTTACGGTATTTGGCGTCATATGTAGGCCTTTGACCGGTAGGAAACTACCCGTCATATATTAAATATCAACTAGGCTACAAATCCAAATACTTAATTAATTTGAAATTAGTTCCTGCACCTATGTGCACCAACTCTTCACTTTTCGTGGTGTACAGGTGTACAACACCCGTGTCTAATGCATATAAGAATATAGGTATGGGGGTAAGACCCACCATGGCCCCTATAAGTACATGGAAAACTAAAAACAAATTAACATAGCAATGTTAGACGCATAACCATATCGTATCCAACACACACAACCACGCCCAAGTAATATAAGTCTCACACTCTGTTCTCTCCACTTTCTTCCATCCCATTGTTAGAACATGAAAATTATAAAATCACAACAGCACTTTAATAATAATGCTTAAAGCCCCAACCTTTTAGTACCTAAATCGGGAATCAGATATCTGGTTAATTTATTAAACTCTCTTGTCTTCCAACCATTGATACTTACAATTATGCAACAATCGGCTTTTATGTACTGAAATGAACAGTGAGCTTTCTACAGTATCTCTTACCTTCTGCTCTATTCCAGGAACTTTAAGAACCTTCTTATTAACCTCTCTCTTGCTGCAAGAAGATAGAACAAAAAATCATTTAGCAACTATTTACAGAAAATCTCCATAAAAAAGAATGCAAAAAATTGATTCAAAAGCAACTAAACTGGCAGTAACCATCATTTGTATATAATTTTAAAACCAGATTATTTCTTTAAACTACTAGATATTTGAAGAAGAAAAATCAATTACGACATCATATAAAGGAATTAGTAATACACTTACAGTTCTCTAACAGTTTGACCGATAGCCTTCTTCATCCTCGCCTGAGTTCAAAATGAAGCAGCCCGTCACACTAAAGAATAATGGGAAAATAGTAATGCTTAGACCATTTTCAGGCATACAAATGAATATAATTAAATACACCTAGACAAATAACTTCAAATCATTACAAAGAAAAGTCATAGACATCTCGATTTTTGAGTAATTCGAAAGATCCCTAAATCTTCAAATATTCAAAATAAGAATCTTTTACAAAGAAAAACAAACAGATAAATAAATATGAAAATGAAATTTTCAGAACAATTATGAAATCAAAAAACAACAATCAATCAAAACGAGGTGAAATTCAGCTGAATCTAGATACATGAAAATTAGATCTATAAAAATGAGAAAATCAAACGAAACTACAAATAAAAAAATCAGATCTGAACGAGAGTGAAATAGAGAACGAAAATAAACAAAAAAAAGAGAGAGAATAGAAATCTTAACCTGATTGAATCGAGAATGAAAATTGAAGATCCAACGGCAAAGAAATTCAATGAAACAGATCGGCGCTGTTAGAGCGAGGAAAAAAATTTTGAAGAGAAAAGAAAATGGGAATTTTCAATAGAAAATTATGTGACGAAGTCATTTATTCACATTAGCAAGTTGAGAATTCTAAAGAAAAAAGTAGTAATTTGCAAAAAGTTCAAAACTACCCCTTTTTCATATTATTAATTAGCTTTTAAGAAACTATAATTAATTTTAAAAGACAAAAGGGTACTTGAGTCCCTCTACTTTAAAAAAAAACTAATGTGATCTTTTATTTTTTTTCTCAGGCCTTTCAATTTGTAAAAATAAAAAAAAAATTAATGTGATCCTTTGTGTCATGTGTTGATGTGACATTTTAAGAGGGCCAACGTCCCATTTTTTCTCTCAATCTGACCTTCAAACTCAAGAAAATAAATCATTGTGATGTTATAAATGAGAAAATTATACTTTCCATCACTCAACTATCTTCACTCTTCTATTTTAGTCACTAATCATTAAAAGTTAATTATAATAATACTTATTTTTATATTATTTTCTTAGATTAAATATAATTTCTTATATCAATATTTTATTAATCACTCAACTTAAAATATTATTTTCTTAGATCAATATTCTCAAAATTATAATTAAATTAAAAATATTTTATATGCTTTATATATTTCCAAACATTCATTCTCCTCCTTTATCCTCTCATTTCATTTTCCTTTTTTTTACAAGTTCAATATGGGTTCACTGAATCGGGTAATGAAAGAAAAAAATAAATTTTTAATTGAAAATAAAAAATGTCACATCACACATAAATATTAATAAAATAAATCACGATGATTAAAATAGGAACAATTCAAAAGTTGAGTGTTTAAACTGAAAAATTTTGAAGTTTAGTGACCAAAATAGAAGAAAAAAATAGGAGAGCCACATTGATTTATTTTCTTGAGTTTGAGGGCCAGATTGAGAGAAAAAAATGGGATGTTGGCCCCTTAACGTGCCACATCAGCACAAAGTAACGGTCTTATCGGTCAACAATGAAAAACGTTAGTCAAATGACCACATCGAGTCTTTTTTTCTAAATTGGAGGGTAACATTGGTTTTTTTTTGAAATAGTGGAGGGCCTCAATACCCTTTTACCATTTTAAAAATAAATATTAAATATTTATGAGTTGGACCATATAATATTTTTTCTATTATTTAATTGATTTATATTTGCAATTATATAAATACATATCTTCAACATATAGTATATACGTGTATTTTTAGATAAACTTGTATAATATTTTTCATATTTTAGTTTATTTCTTTCATTTTATTTTTACTTTTAAAAAATCTAATCGATTTTCTAGCATGATAATAGAAAATGTTATCTAAATGCATATCTTCAACATATATTGTACGTGTATTTTTAGATAAACTCGTATAACATTTTATATATATATATATATATATTTTGTTCTTTCATTTTGTCTTAATCTTTATAAAATCTAATCAATTTTCTGTCACGACAATAGAAGATGTTGCATGTCATGATAAAAAAAAGTACTTCTTATCAAATGTGTGTCTAACGTGACATATCTTTATAAAAATATCGATTCGAGAATTAATTTACAAAATATGTAGAAAATTTTAAAAATATTTTGATGATACTCCAATAACAAAAAACCCAAATTTAATGTAAAAGAAAATAGTGCAAATAAAAAAAGTTTACAAATTATTAAATTGATTTATAATATTTCAGTTTTTAGCTATTAATTATGTGAGTAGTTAAGATATCATTTGATAATTTGATGGACCCCATTTTTGTAATTTCACAAGATAAACAAATGTAAGAGAGAGAGAGAGAGAGAGAGTCTCATAATGTGAAGCTTTTCCTCCACATTTCGAGTTGTAATAATAGATGCTTTGGAGGAATATATGACTTTACACTCCAGCCTGCTTTTTTATTTACTATTATTATTGCTTTTCATCTTTCTTTTTTCACCCACAATCATTATTAGTCCACTGAAATTTAAAATTTTATTTCAGTAAAATTAATTATTTTATTTTACTTTAAATATATTGATTTTTTATGTGATTAAGTGATCTCGGTAAAAAGGAAGATTATTCTTTCCAGAAATTAGGCTTCCAAAAAGCAGTGTGTGCATGATGTGTATTGTTAATGAATTAAAGAATTATAAACAAGTTTAGTTTTTGTTTCATTTTAGTATTCATTAAAAACTTAAGGTTAAGTTTTGAAAAAAATTAAAAGTTCAGGTATTAAAACGGGTCAAAACTGATAATTTAAGTACTAAACGTGTTAAATTTTTAATGGTGTGGGTACTAAAATGAAACAAAAATTAAACGTTAGATATAGTTTTGAAAAAATTGAAAGTCTAGGTACTAAAATGGATCAAAACTGATAGTTTAGGTACTAAATGTGTAATTTACCCAAAAATTCTATTTCCATAGTGAATATTCAGCCACTTTTCTAAATGGTTTTTGGTATATATTTTAAATCTATCTATGGGTTCCTCTGATTAATTCATGTGCTTTAATTCTCTTTAAATAGACAAAGACTTTTAATATTTTTTTGGGTTACAATAATTTTAACATATTTTCTTTTCCATAATTATACTTGTCAATGTAAAAAGATTGCATGATCTAATTAAAAAAATTAAGTTCGACTTCATCCATTGGTCACCTTTTCTATCATGCAAATCATAATAAAATATTTAAGATTTTATTATTAGATTAAAAATTTTAATTTATTTAAATTTAAAGCAAATCGAATCAAATTCAAAAATCAACTATCAAACACTCTATATTTAATCCCATTTATTAGTAAAAAGATATAAATTAACAAAGCATTGTACATATCAAATTAAAAAGTTGATGTACAAAGGAATTAATTAATTAATGGCATCAAGTTAGCTAGTTCTAGTCTTCTCTAGAAGTTCTTTGAATGGCCGTTGTTGAGAATAAATAGGGATGACAGAATGACCTAAATCTAACGGAGAAACTCGAAATCTGGTCAAGTTCGGATCGGGTCGGGTCGGATATCAAATAATTTTTTGGGGATTTTTTCGAGTCGGGTTTGGGGACTGGGCAAGGTATCCTCGCCCCGCACCGATTATATATATATATATATATATATAATATTTTATATTATTTATATTAATTATATATATAATATTTTATATTTTTTATATTAATTATATATATAATATTTTCGGGTTCGGGTTTGGGTATAATATTTCGGGTCGGGTTCGGGGACGGGACAAAAAAATCTCTGACAAGGGGCCCCGATAAAAAACCCGACAGGAATCAGGTTGGGATCGGGGATTCATTTTAAGTTCGAGGATGGGGCGAGCAAAACCCGGCCCGAACCTACCCGTTGCCATTCCTAAGAATAAATTCTTCTTTTTCAGGTACAAAAGGAGAATTATTAGAGCATTGTTTTGGACCAAAGGTTCTACACTCCTTTCCCTTAGCATCTCATTACTAGCTAATTTAAATCTAAAAGAATTGGAGCATTGTAGTTTCATAGTAACTATGGTACTTAAAGAGTTTAGGGTTAAGGTATATTTTACCTTATGAATTTGGTCTTAAGTACCTAAGTTGACACCCAATTTTTCTTAAACTCATTTGGTTCCTGAATTTGATCTTAGTTACCCAATTGACCCCTAAACTCTTTCTATTCAATTGGCTTATGAACTTTACCCAGTGAGGATGGCATGCATATACAATTTCGTGGATTTCGCATTGTACCCTCTTCAATTAGGGCGGTGATAGATATAAGTTCAGTAGGTGGTGGGCAGGTGTGGATGTAAAAAGTCATACCAGCCGTGGGTAGTGGGTTTGAGACCTTATCTGCCCCACATCCGCCCGCCCACTAACTACTCATCATATAAATTTTAAATCATTATGAATTTAAGTATAATTTCAGAGATTATTCTTTAAATCTTAAGATTTTATAGGACATGACTTATAATTTAACTAAATGTTAAGGTATAAATATTTTTAGACTTAAAAATCGTCGTTTCTCCTATATCAAATTGGTGGGTATGAACGGTTACAAACATGTATAGGATGAGTGGTGAGTATCTAGTTAGGTAGTAGGTATGATGATAGATTTGATTTGAGAATGTAACTACGTGAACGAGTATAGATTTAAAAATTTTACCTATCACATATTATGAGTAAATAATATATTTGAAAATATTAGTTAAGTACAAAGATAAGAGAAATGATATCTACATATGCCCCACCAGTTTTCCATGCCTAGTCCCTGGTCGATACTTGAATTTGAAATTAATCGTACACTAATCGACAGACGACGTGTTTTTTAAAATATAGACTCCTAAAGTTAACGTTAAGTAATTTTGTTATTTTATTACTTCTAGAGACTTTACAATTTTGACTAAGTTGAGTATTTTGACTAACCATGCTACAAAATATAGATTTTGTTAGGGTGCTCAAAGGAATAAAAAAATATTAGAATAGACAGAAGAGATACGTAGGTAGAAGGTTCGGTTGCCAGTCTATTTCCTACCACCCTCTTATTCCTTTTAAGGTGCACGAGATAATTGTTTGTGAATATTTTGGCATTTTTTCATAAATATCACAAAAAATTTCAGGTGAACCAAGTATGTAGTCACACAATTATCCACGTAGTTTCGTTTTAGTCATTTAACTATTCTTTTTTAAATCATATTTGATGTTACATTTTGATTTTTGTTTTGATCACTCGTTGTTAAAAAATTAACAGAATTGTTGATTTAATATTTTTAATGATGATGTGACATTATTTTATGATAATATGTTAGTATCAACATTAATTTTTTAATTTTTGATGACCAAAATGAAATCAACACGTAACATTATATATGATTTTGAAAAAAATAGTTGAATGATTTTGAAATCAACATGTAGCGTTATTAATTTTTTAATGTCGGATTGCCAAAATGAATCCAACACGTGATGTTATAATGATTAAAACGAAACTACGCAAATAGTTGAGTAATTAAATACATTATTTACGTAAAAATTAATATAAAAATAGTATCCATTTAAATTTATTTTTTTGAATTACTATATATTTTAAGGTAAAATATGCATTTAGTATATAAACTATCAATTTTGGTATGTTTTAGTACCTAAACTTTCTTCTTCTTTTTTCTTTCAAAATCATGTTTAGTTTTTGCTTCATTTTAGTATCCTACCATTAAAAATTAACGAACTGGCTAATGAGACATATATCTGGTAGACGAACGAACAATTCGAACTGTGGACCACAAAAGAATACGAGTTAACCAACATAGTCTAGTTTCAGGCCTTTTGGGCGGTTGAAGACGAAGATCGAAGGATGAAGAAGTCGAATAGTCCATAGTTGATTTAGGGAGCTCTATGCATTTTCCGATGAAATGGAGGCCAAAATCACATTTAAGGGCTCAAAAAGATACGAGCTATAAAGTTTGAGTTTCATCGGTCGGCAGATGCAACGATAGACGAATGTAGACACGATGGCCGACGTGTTTGTCCGTTAAGTTTTTAACGACGGGTACTAAAATGAAACAAATGAAAGTTTAGGTATTAAAACAGACCAAACTGATAGTTTAGGCATTAAACGTGCAATTTACCCTACCATATTCAAACTTTAACGTTAATTTATACTCCAACAATCATTCTTCAAGTGACCCTTCTTTCCACAGTTGTAACACTTTAAATTCTTCTTGCTCCTCGACTTCGATCTACCATGTTTGTGACTGCTGCTTTGGCCACGTTCTGTTGATCTCCCTCTCATCGTTGTCATCGTTGTCAACGCTTCTGCTTGTTGCAGATTTACTTGTCTGTCTTCCTTGTTCTTGCGCCGATTTTCTTCTTGTAGAACAGCAACTGCAACGTCATCGAAGACTAGACTGGTGACATTACTGTTTGTCAAGTTGATGATGAGTTGATCATACGAATCCGGTAGACTTTGAAGTAGAAGTTCAGCACGTTCTTGTTCTCCTATTTTACATCTTAAGGATGTAAGCTGAGAAAATAAAGTGTTTAACGTGTTTAAGTGCTCCGTCACTGAAGTAGATTCTGGCATCCGGAGAGTACACAATTTCCTCTTAAGGAAAATTTTATTGTGCAACGATGTGGCCTCGTACAATTTGGTGAGATGATCCCATATCTCCTTAGCTGTCTTTTTCTCCTCGATGCTTGACAATACTTCATCTACTAATGCTAGATGAAAGTTTGCCATAGCATTCCCGTCCATCTCATTCCATTTGTTGTCATCTACGAAATCCACCGGCCTTTCACTGATAGCTGCTAGACAACCGTCTTTCCTCAGGATAGCCTTCATCTTCAATTTCCACAATGAGAAATTTCTCCCATTAAATTTTTCAATATCAAATTTCGCTGCCATAGCTTCTTTTACGGATAGCTCCCACTATTTCACTATCGTGAATAGTTCTCTGGAACCTTCAAAGAATGGGTAATACCTTCTTACTTTCTTATGTTGGAGGATCCACCTTTTAGTGGCAACCACAAAGATAATAAACATATATTACACACTCAAATTTGACTCTGATACCAATTGTTGCAAAAGACGACTATCGGATAGAGCAAAATCGCAACTGATAATTTGAGAAAATAAAAATGAAGATAAAAGAGACACAAAATTTACGTGGAAAACCCCTAAAAATTTAGGGTAAAAACCACGGGCAACGGTAGAAGAATTTCACTATGAGAAAATAGGAATTACAACCTCTCTTGATCTACCAAGGAGAAAACAATGATAATTCTCTCTTGATAAAAAGGAGAAAACAACTCTCAATAAACTCTCTAAATTCTCTCTAGTATTGGAAGAAAGCTAGAATGCTTTGGGATGATTTTGAAGCTAAACGAGCTAGGGTATTTATAGTTGAAACTTAAGGACTAATTTGTAAATACCCTAAATTACAATGACTAAAAATTGAGATTTTACCATTTCAAAAGTCATCAAAATCATGCTGCCAATTGCTCCAATTGCTCCAATTTACCAACCAAATTTCGGTGGAATTATTTTGTTTGTTTTTTTCAAACTTTCCACTGAAAGTTTGGTGGCAGCAGCTAATTTGGACTTTCCAAATTTGTATTTCAACAGTTTTAACATCAATAGATGTGGTTAATCCACTCAAGAATCATCTTTCGAAGATATACTTAGGAAGATCAGTTACATGAGAGAAGGGCAAGTTACAACGGGTTGGGTCTTGTAGACTGTAACTGATATGAATCCCGGAACAAAAATTAATTTCAATGATCGACAGAATTGAAACAAAGCTAACTCAAGGCGATTTTTCTCATTGTCATTTCTCAACTTATTTTTTTCTCCTGATTTACGGCTTCTTCTCAACTTTATTTAATTTACTTTGTCTCATTTTTATTCTACTTCATCTCAACCACGCCTACTCCCCCTTCTTTATTTTTGTTTAATTTTTTACCCTACATTTGCATCAGAAATTTCAATTTCCATGTGGATCAACCCTCTTTACTATACTATTTTTTTTGAAGAGGATTATTTTATTTTATTTTGACGAGTAAAACGACGATCGTCAATGATTCAGTTTGAGTGGAAGCTCAGCACATTTCTGATGTAGATTAAATCCACAATTAGGAGTCCACAATGAGTAGAGAAGTATGTATAATTTGCTAATGGTTCCCAGCAGGCGAAGCACTTAGGAACATCTTCAAGTTGTTCATCATCTTTATTAGTGGAAGTCATTGGGGGTTCAAAAGGAACATTCTTAAGCTCTTTCAAATTACTTTTAGCAATATTAAATGTAAACAAAGCACATTTAATATGAAATCCCAAATGGCAAGAGGAGCAATGATAAACGAATTTCTCACATGTTTCGCCACAGAAATTGCAAGCAAACCTTGTGTATATAGACGGTGGATTTTGCAGGAGAACAAGAGGCTGTTGCTGATGGAAAGGGTGATTAAGCTCCGCAGGTGCCTGGGCGCATATCTTGTGGACGTAAAACCCACAGTCCTCCGCACAACGAAAACATGGAGCAGACACCTTCTCCCCACACCTTGAGCAGTCAGCTGCTACTCCACTTGGATAGCTCATCAGCTGCTCTTCGTTCAAGCGTACCAAAGGATGGTGGTGGCCATAATTGTTTGAATCCTCCATTTCTCCTTCCTATTTGTCTCTTTCCAAGTAACAGAAGAGTAAAATGAAACCCAAAACCCAGAAACAAAGCAGGACAGCTTAATGGGGGCGTTTGAGGAACGTTCCAGGGCCAAGAAATGAACATGGAAGGATGAGGTTCCTCGTTATAAGGAACCTCCTAACTACAGCTCTTGCAACTGTCAATAATTAACCAATAACTAAACACTCAAGAGTTGTTTTCACCGGCTTTGATGCATCATCCTCTATTTTTCTAATATATAGTCTAATCTACAATTCTTTAATAATAAGGGTAAACTATATTAGATACCACCGAACTTCAGGTGATGTATTGTTTATACTACAGAACTTTCAATTTTGCCAAGTATAGAGCTGAACTTTAATTTTTGTTTCAATTATACCATTAAACTGTAAAATCGTTAATGATATGATAACGTGGCTGACGGCTGCCGATGTGATTAACGATTGTCGATGTAGACACCTCACTAAAACGACATCGTTTTGACTCGCATGTTACCGATTTAACGGGCCAACATTATAATTGAAACGGAAATCAAAATTAAATGCTATAATTGACAAAATTAAAAATTTAATAATATAAATAATACATCGTCTAAAATTTATTGGTATCTGATATAATTTACCCTAATAATTATCATGTTAACTTCGAGTGCATGGATAGCCGTAGCTGGTAATAGATTACAATCTCTATATTTTATTTTAAATTTTCAACATTATCTCACCAGCTCCCATAATAGAAAGTGTAAACTTTAAGAAAATATAAATGACGACATTTGTTATACCTCCGCCAAACATCCTCTACTTATTGTGGCGACTTCTCAAAATCTTCAAAAAGTCCTTTTATAATTAAGATCCCGAAGGTTATAACGTATAAATAATCATAATGATCTTAGGACTATCATCATACTTTAAGTATTTTTGTTTTTTTTTTCATTCTATCATTTGTCAAGAAATCTACGGTACCATTGTAATTATGGATGGAATAAGGGAACAGTCGAAGCAGTCGTCAGTCTGAAAATTTTAAATTATTATATATTGTAGATATTTTCTTTGTATTTCTATTTTCGCCTCTTAGAATTGTATAAACATGTTCCTTTATAATTTTGAAAGTACATCCATAATATAAAATTATACGTCTCTTATTATAATGTCGAGGCGCATAGACAAGATGGAGACTCCCCTGCCTCACAATACTATCAAAATTGATAAAAAAAAAATTAATACATCCATGGCCTCAAATTAAAATTTTGGGTAAACTACGTATTTAGTATCTAAATTATCAATTTTGATCTATTTTAATGCCTAAATTTTTCAAAATCATGTCTAACATTTATTTTTTGTTTCATTTAGTACCCCACCGTTAAAACCTTAACGTGTTTAATTAGTACATAAACTATCAATTTGGGTCCGTTTTAATACCTAAGCTTTCAACTTTTTTCAAAACTTAACGTTAAATTTTGAACGAGGTACCAAAATGAAACAAAAATTAAACTTAAGTATGATTTTGAAAAAATTGAAAATTTAGGTACTAAAACAGATCAAAACTGATAGTTTAGATATTAAACACAAAATTTACCCTAAAAGTTTTAACCCATGATAAAACTACTTGCTAATTCGATTCCACTTCACCCTGTTTCAACAAGCATGTCCAAAGCTAACTTTAAAGCAACATCATTAGGATACTCTCAAAGTCTAATGAATTTCGTAATTAATCATAGTAAAAAAATCATTTATAAAGTATGTTATTCATACGCAATAGAAACACATTATTTAAAGACAAATTCTTATTATAACTCAAATATAAAGAAGATCGTATCCTTTTCAAATAAGAAATAATCGATGTAGTGAACTTTTAAGCAACATCAATAGTATACCTCAGTAGTTAAAGGGAGTATTGATCTTCCTAGAGTTTTTGGATTCGAGTAGCTGCGTCTGCAAGGTGTGTGCGTTGTCAATGGCTAAGAAAGAACATGAACATATATTACCTTGTAATCAACCCGCACTACTACAAAAAAAACTACCAATTGAGTGAAATCAGCCCTTCAAATTTGGAAAAGAAACAACAAAATAGAACAAGGTCTGAAAGATGGTTCACACTTCTATGACATATATATCCAACGCCAAATACATAATGAGCTGTTAAATGGAACTTAAAATGTAGGAAAAACCAAATTACAATGACAAATATAGCCAGCCAGCCATTACAAGTAACAAGGATAGAATCAAACTCTAATTTTCCGGTCTTGAGTTTTCCAACAAAAGATTGGACCGTTTTCAAATATGAGTAGCTCTGAGCTGCTACATACCAAAACCACGCCAGTTTTGTAGATAACGAGGTGCTACACAATCCCAATGGACAATATAGTTGCATCCGGACTTCGTGCATTCAAGAGCCAAATCTTCACAAGGCCTATGACAGTTTTCACAATCAGGATAGTAGTAGCTCTTCTTGACGAAGGTGAGTGGGTGTGAGTGATCACTTTCTTCATAGATGCTCCCTAGTTTTATGAATGGATATCGATCAAGAACACAACGGACATGAGCACAAGTATCACATATTTCACAACGATAAAACGAACGATTTGGATCTCGACTTTTTTCACAAATGTCGCAATAATGACTTTCTGAATAACTATTATCGTCGTGAATAGTGAGTTTGAGACGATCTTTATCACATTTGTGACGAACTGTGATTGGGAGAGAAAAACATTTATGGTGTAGCACGAAATTGCAATCCTTACAGAGAATTGCCCCGTATGTAGTTCCACCACAAGCATTGCACCTCGCTTCGTAATTTTGGTAGTAAAGGAGGGGATGTTCATGATGCAGACATGTTCGAGCACTTGGAGTGAGTGCAATCACGCATCGGAGACATGTTTTCCTCTTACATCCATCACATTCATAGGCAAAGGCATTAGACACTTGGCCACATTTTTTACACCGATAACATTTATCTGAGATGAGGACGAGATCTTGCGGACATTTATGAAACCAAAACTGCTTCTTCTTCGGTAACTCGGCACAAGTTTTATGAAGAAAAAATTGGCACTGTGAACAAGAGTAAAATGGATCCGATATCGGTAACATACACCCATCGCAACTGTTTTCACACCCTCCAACAAAAGAACTTAGTAGGAGATTATGAATATGCTTGAAATGTTGAATTTCTGTAGCTTCTCCAGCATCGTTCCTCTCCAAAACACAAGTGATTGAGCTTTCATATGATATCTCATTTGCATCTTCACGTGAAATTATAAAATATGAACTTGCTTTCTTCGTCACACAACGAACATGGAATGTAATATTGCAATTTGAGCAACAGTAACTCCCGTGCTCTGGACTGACAGCGTCATGACAAATAATGCAGTCTGAGCTTCCAAAATCATCTGGAAGGAAATAGTTGTGAAAGATTGCATGATCATGCCACTTGCTCTTGATGATGCTTGGCAATGAGGTACACTTTTTGTGGACTATAATGTTGCATTCACAACATATATAGGCAGAGTAAGTTCCTTCTGTACCACATGCATCACAGATGAATGGTGCTCGTCTTGGGAATAAACTGAATGGGTGTTCATGACGCTCATCTTTGATAACAGGAACAAGATCTGATGACAAACATTCAATATGAACAACAAACTCACAAGATGAACAACCATAAACAAATCCAACTCCTCTTCGTTGGGTTTCTTGGCATATCTTGCAAGCGAGCCGATCGCTATTAAATTGTAAAAGAAGCGGATGTTTACGATGGCACACATGATTTTTTTGAAGAGGAAGCTCAACACATTTCTTGTGTAAATTAAATCCGCAATCAGCAGAGAAGTGTGTATAATTTGCTAATGGTTCCCAACACCCAAAGCACTTTTTAACATCTTCGAGTTGTTCATCATCTTTTTTGGTGGGACTCACTGGAGGTTCAAGGGGAATATGCTCAAGCTCTTTCAAATTATTTTCAGCAATATTAAATGTAAGCAAACCACATTTAATATGAAATCCCAAATTGCAAGAGGAGCAATGAAAAACGAATTTCTCACATGTTTCGCCACAGAAATCGCAAGTGTAATAATCGTACATAGATTGTGGATTTTCCATAAGAACAAGAGGGTGATTATGATGGAAAGGGTGATTGAGCTCCGAAGGTGCTTCAGCGCATACCTTGTGAAGGTAAAACCCACAGTCCTCGGCACAGACAAAACATGGAGCAGACACCTTCTCCCCACACCTGGAGCACTCAGCTACAACTCCACTTTGATTGGTGATCATCCGATCTTCATTCAACAACACAAGTGGATGTTGATGCCCATAATTCTTTGAATCCTCCATTTCTCCTTCTTCCCTTTGTTTTTCCCCAGAAAAATAAAGCAAAAGCTTGATTTTGTAAGAAAAGTTTCAATGGAATAACAGAATCACAAGTGAAGAAACGTAATGGTTCAGGAACTGAGAGAGCATTTGTGGTTTAGAGGGAGACTCAATTATTGTAAACAGAGGTCGACAGGTCAATGCTTCAGTCTTATCTTTTTCTCTTTGTAAGGCTCTGCTCTGCTCTGCTCTGCTCTGCTCTGCTCTTCTCCACACATTATTTAATTTTCTTACTCAGTTTCTTTCATCCCATCATCGTAGGGTCCAGACTTGGTCGCTATAATTATATCTATTTTATCATTCAGCATTGTAGTAACTTTTAAAAAGAGTAAGGGATGTTTGTTTAGCTCGAAGCATTCAGACAGTTTGTTTCTTACTTTAAAATGATTTAGTGTTGACTGATTCAGTGCTGACTGATTCAGTAAAACAGTGCTGAATGATTCAGCACCGAAGTATATTCTGAATGATTCAGAGCCATTATCAAACAGCATGTCACATTCAGAGCTAATTCATACAGAGCTTTTGAATCATTCAATATTTGAATCATTTAGTGTTTAATCATTATGAAGTAAACAAACATCCCTTAAGCTATTTATTTTTGGGTAAAACACTCAAATAATTTCATATTATAAGATATTGTTTTGTTTAGCCTCTAATTATTAAAAAGTTATAAAATGATATTTTGATTATAAAATATTATTTTGTTGAGTCTCTCGACTATTAAAAGTTATAAAATGATCACCTAATTATTCATATGTTTCGAACTCGTCTTTTTCGTTAAAAAATTGGCAGTCATATTAGTTGAACGTTAACATGTTAACTTAAATATGATAGTGTTTTGAAATTTTAAGATCAGATTTTATCATATCTCGATCAATAGGTTAACGTCCAACTTAGACTATTGTTAATTTTTTAACGGAAAATGATAAGTTTAGAACATATGAATAGTCATGTAATCATTTTATAACTTTTAATAGTAGGAAGACTAAAAAAAGCAACGTCATATAGTTGGATTAGTTGGTAACTTTTAATAGTTTAGAAATTCAACAAAACATCACCATATAATTGAGAGACTGCTTGTGTATTTTACCCTTATTTTTGCTATAAAATTTTTTGAATATAAATAAATTTGTGGCGATTTTCTCGATAAATCACCCTTAACTTTTTTTCTCTGTCAGACACCGTTTAGACTTTATTTTTTGATCTAACACCTTTTGCGGTAAGGCGCGCCCCCTGAAGCGCGCTTTACGCTGATCTGGCGCCACATGGGGTAAGGGGCGCCCCCTGCAGCGGGCCTGATGCTGACATGGATACACGCTGACTAAAGCGCAGCCCCTGGGGAGCGACTTATGCCACGTATGGGGTATAGTGCGGTGCAGAGCCCGCGTCTTTGCTTTAATTCTGACACGCGTCAAAAAGATGCGGTGCAGGGCCGCGCTTTTCCTTTAATTTCATACCGTTCACACCCTTTTCCCATCCCTATAAATACCTCTATTTTCAATCATTTTCATCACACCAAATCTTCTCAAATCCTCTCAACTTCTCTCAACTTCTCTCAACTTAAGGTATATTTTATTATATTTAATACTTTATTAGTATTTTATTTAATTATTTAATTATTTTAATATTTTATTTATTTATTATTTTTTTACAGTTATAAAATGGACGGCGGTCTTCTTCGCTTGGATGGAAATCATATATCGAGTCATTATGTTGATACGGTAACATTTTTACATTTTAATTTAATTTAAATTATAAGTAATAATTTATTTATTTAATGCATTATTATTAGTTTATAAATTAATTTTTTTTAATTATTAATATTTTAAGAGAGCGACCGTATATTAAATTTTTTTATTAGGAACCTTAAGTTAGCGATACCTACCCGTGTCTGACCGTATTTAGTCGAGGCTAGATTCGGTCACATAGGTAGATATGAAGGTCATTGTAAGATAGAACCAGACCTTATTTCTGCATTAGTGGAGCGGTGGAGGCCGGAGACCCACACATTTCATCTTTCGTGCGGAGAGTGTACGATTACGCTTGAGGATGTTTCTATGCACTTGGAGCTTCCGATGGATGGAGATATGATATCAGCGATGGCGCACAGTTCCTGGACTTCTTTGTGCCGGGATTATCTAGGAGGTGTCTCGCAAAATTTTAACGGCGGTCGAATACCGTTAAATCGGTTAGATGCAAATTTTTGGGAGTTGAGTGAGGACGCCTCTGATGATGAAGTTAAAATGTATGCATGGGCATGCATACTGCAGCTGATTGGAGGGTTGCTGATGCCGGACAAATCGCGCAACCAAGTTCACTGTATGTGGTTGTGACATCTTGGCGACTTTCATATGGTCGGATCACTGAGTTGGGGCTCGGCAGTTTTGGCTTTCCTGTATAGGGAGATGTGTCGAGCGACTGACTACAGGAAAAAATCTATCGGCGGATGTCTCCTTCTCCTGCAGTCTTGGGCATGGTATCGATTGTCATTTTTATGTCCCGTTGTGAAGAACTCATTCATATTTCCGCTACTATTGAGGTAATTTTAAAACTGAATTTGTATATTAATATTTTATACAATGTATAATAAAAAATACAATTTGTTGTAAGTAATAATTCATTGAGGATAAATACAATTTGTTGTAAGTAATAAATCATTGAGGATAAATACAATTTATTTTTACTTCTATTTTCTTTTACCATTATCAAGCTTTAAAATGATAAATACAATTTGTTGTAAGTAATAAATCATTGAGGATGTTTAGACCAGTGGTTGGGGCGTTGTTAATCTATCCATTTTGTCCAGGTTCAATTCCACCCAAAAGCAATTTCATCATTTTTTGATTGGATAGAAAAATTATTTAATTAAATAAATTTAAATTAATAAAAAAATCCTTCAGTCATGTATTGACACGTCACTAACAACATGTTTCATGCTCTTGTACTGACACATGTTAGATCTAGATTGAATGGTTAATTTAATTTAATTTATGACCAACTTGAGTGAATATATAAATATTTAGGACTAAATATAAAAATATACCAATTTTTTAATTGTCACGTCAGTATTTCCGTCTAATATTAACGGCTAGTGTTCTATTGAACAAATTAAATAGTTAAGTGGTGTGATTGACAAAATTGAAAGATCAATGGCAAAAGTAAAAGGACTAAATAGTTAAGTGATCAACCGAGTAGTTTACTCTTTTTTAATAAAATAGCTCAACTTTTTTTTCTCGACAAAATTAAATTTATTAAAATCGAATCGAATTATTTTAAATTATATATTTAATTAAAACCCTCTCTAATCTTAAATGAAAAGAAGAGTACGTACAATTTGGTAGTAAAACAAACAACACAGACCAACGAACCTTACAAACAAAACATACCACGCTCCAACAAGAAGCGACCATCACAACAACAAAACCCATAACGAAAAATATATTTTAATTAACGTAAATCAGATCTCAGGTTAACAATATGAGTCATAAACAACGCACATGGGGTACTTCATTAAAATACTTCCTATCAATTAATAATAATAACATTAATGGCAGAACTCATCAAATGGTTAGTTCATTAAAATATTTCTGGTATTTTTTTGTGATCGAACTAAAGACCTCAAAAAATAATATCAATTCTTTTATTATCGAAGTCGCTTGATTCATACATCGTATAATTAATTTATTAAATTAATTATAAATTTGTTACATTAAATTAATATTAAATGATAGAGTAATTAAATATAAAAATAAATGGTGTGTTGGATCCTTGTTATAGATCTATGCAACTCTCTTTTAAATAAAACTACGTAGTACTATTATACAATTTAAATTTTTTAAATGACCCCATGTGATACGTAAGTATCAATGATTTATACAGCTCGATGACACTCTTTAATTAATGAAATTACTTGATGAGTTGTACTATTAATGTTGTAATTATTAACTGACAAGAAATATTTTAATGAAGTACCGTGTTCCTTGTTTATGACCCATATTATTAAATTGAGATCTGATTTATTAAAATATTTAAAAAAACATAGGAAAGTAAAGTTGGAAGGGTAAACATATGGGTAATCAACAAGTCACATGGGTTGACTTCATTGGTAATCACATATCACATGGCGTCAATTAATAATAATATTGTTAAAAATGGAGCAGTGCAAATCATCGGTAATTACAAATCACATGGCGTCATTAAAGGCTAATTGGAACTTAAATGTCGGAAAACAAATTACAACCAAATCAATGTCGTACAATGGTAAAACTAAAGTTTTAGATCTCTACTTCCTTTACACGTATCTAAAAAACAATTTGTTAGATGATTGTTATTATCATGATGAGGGAGTGAAAGAAGACAAAATTGCTAATGGTTCAAAACACCCAAAACACTTGGCAACATCTTCAAGTTGTTCATCATCTTTCTTAGGGGGAATCATTGGAGGTTCAAGCGCAAAAAGCTCAAGCTCCTTCAAATAATTTTCAGCAATATTAAATGTATAAAAAGCACATCTAAAATGGAGGTTCAAATTGCAAGAGAAGTGATAAACGAATCCCAAACATGATCTACCACAGAAATCGCAGCATGTATGATCAGATGGTGGGTTTTGCAGAAGAACAAGAGGATGATCGCCATGGAAAGGGTGATTAAGCTTTAAAGGTGCGTCGGCACATACCTTGTGGAGGTAAAACCCACAGTATTGGGCACAGCTAAAACATGAAGCCGTGACCCTCTCCTCTCGAGCAGTAGGCTGATACTCCACCTTGATTGATGATGAGCTGCTCTTCATTCGATAGTAGAAGCAGTGGATGCTGATGGCCATAATTCTTAGACTCCTCCATTTCTCCTTCCTCTCTGTCTCTTCCCCCAAACAGTTAAACACTAAGATCGAAATAAATAAATAAAGCAACAGCTTGAATTTTGGGAACAAAGTTTCAATGGAAAAAACAAGTGAAGAAAGGTGATGGTTCAGTTACCGAGTCTGAGAGAGCATCTGATATCTAAAGGAAGGCACGTTTCATGGGGTGAGTATAAGATGCAGCGTTTTAATTTAAAATTAACTTGGGGTAAACTATGTATTTACTAATTAAATTATCAATTTTGATCTGTTTTAATACCTAAACTTTCAATTTTTTCAAAATTTAACGTTAAATTTTGAACTGATACTAAAATGAA